TTTTTTTGATGAAGTTGTTTCATATATATATATATAGAGAGAGAGAGGGGGGGGGGAGGGAGCGATCAAATGAAAATCATCCTCATTTGTACAAACCGTACAAACCACTCTCGTACCAAATTTGAATAAAAATTTTAATATAACTTGTAATAGTTTAAAAAATCCTTATTCATACAAAGAAAAAACTATTTTGTCTCATCTTCTTCCAGTTTTTGTCTCTGGCTCATATTGCCTCAAATGTGGGTCTATGGATTTTGCCATGCCTTGTCTCGTTCCATATACGAAATACAGCCTTAAACGATATTTCAAAGTTTACAATTTTTAAGAAAATAACAAATTCATAATATTTATAAAAAATTAGTTACTTAAAAAAATTAAGAAAATACTATAAATTTTACAATTTAAAAAATTTAATGAATATTTTAAAATAAAATTACAAGATACATTCTATATAAACTATAATCACGTGTAGGGATGGCAACGAGGCAGGGGCCCCGGCCCCGGTTTATATATAGAGTCCCCGGCCCCGGCCCCGGCCCCGGCCCCGGCCCCGGCCCCGGTCAACTTTCGGTTAACCCCGGTCACCATCCGTGATTCACGTGCAACTTCTTTGCTTTTTTGGAATTTAAAAATCAAATTACTAGGTAAAGGAAGTTATGTTTGATTTGTCACACATTTTAGGCATAAAAATAAATATTTTACTTAAAATAAGAATTAGATTAAAGTATAAAATTAAATTTTAAAAATTCTACCAAAATCAACAATAACAATATCCAACAAGATATACATCTCCTATTTATATATATGTACCTATGAATACTTAAAATCTCATCTTGGCTTTGACTCACTTCCCTTGCTCCGGAACGTTGACAAAGAAAAGAATGATCGAGGCCCTGTTCAGTTTCAATCAAAGTTAGATAAATGTCTTCAAATGTGTTTGATTTGATACATTATTGTTCATATGTAAGTCATTGAGGACTGTTTTGTGTGTAGGAAAAAACAGTACTGAACTCTCTCTATAAACACCGCATATACGGTGAACATAAAAACACTACCTTTTATAGAGCTTCCAGACAGATGATCCTCCCTCAGTCGGAAGTTTGCCGGAGGTGCTGGAATCGAACTCTGCAATGTATTCACTGCAATCCGGAGAATAAATGTGTTAAAATATCTTAAAACAGCAAACATCTGATGAACAAAAAGAAAAAAAGAGGTTCACCGTAAAAATCGCTCTCGTTGAAACTAACTTCCGGTTGCGAGTATCCCATTCTTGATTTCCTCAGATCCTCTGATGACCGATTTGCAGGATCTCTTCCATCTTCAGTATCGTCGTCTCCCTCAGAAGTTGTAGCAGAAATATAATCAGCCAAACTCTCCGTGTTGCGACTTTTCCTTCCGAATTTCAGCAATCGTTTGAATCCTTTTGTCATATCCTTGCGAGATTGAAGACCAGAAGAGTTGGCAAGAGTAGGTTTTTGAGTCATCCCCCATTTCTTCCTCATTCGAGCTGCATCAGCTTCTTGTAGATTCCAAGACGCGGGACTCCGTATCGGAGAGGCGTCTGCATCGGCATCAGATGCCTCGTGAGCATAAGAGAACGGATAATTGGTGCGTGAATTCCATGACATCGGGCTTTCACCAGGCGATTCTTGCACCAGAAATGCGGAATTCACGGTAGCAGGCAATTCAGCAACCAAAGTATGGTCCACTTGCAAAAACGACTGTGATGTGCTGCCATTTTCGGATCCAGAATTGATCAACGCCTCGGATTCAGGACTCGTTTGAGACTCAACCCCGTCTACAACATCTTGATCTTCGGTTTCCATGGCATCCAGCTCTTCTTCGCCATCATCTTTAATCACATTTGGCTCAATCACCTGTTTATCATACTCTTCCTCGTTATTCATAGCTTCAGACACCATTGAAGCCTTCATTTTGGCAATAACACTTCCGGAACCAGGTCCTATGCCAGTATTCTTTCTCAGAAACCGCTTTGGCTCCACGGTTTTCGAGAATTTCATTCTACCACCTTCACCCTGCTCTTCGTTGACACCTTCTGAGATCTCAAGTGAAGTCATGCCAGTCTTCCTCAAGGATTGAGACCGTCGCGACTTCTCTTCCTTGACAGATGGCACCTCTTCATTCGTGCTTCTGCTGCGCGTATAGTTTCTTAACTGAGACCGAGCTGCTGCTTTGCTAGCTGTTGAATAAGGCTTGGTATTTTCTTTCCGAAGGTCGGAAAAGTTGGGGACAGACTGCGCAAGAGGGTTATCAGGTTGTGCCCTCCGTCTCCCCGAGCCAGAAGCCAGTTTGGGCGCTGATCTTGGAATCGCGGGTGACGGCTTTTTACCTTGAATGTTCCTCGAAACACAAAAACCAGAAGGTTTCATCTCGGAAAATTCAGACAAATCTCCGTCATCTTGAAGCTGCCCAAAATCTAGCGGCTGCCATCAAATGGAAACATCATATGTTACGTCATTAGAAATATAGACTGTACTATATAGCAAGAGAAACAATGATACCTCTTCTCTTTTTAAAGCCGAACGAGCATTAAACGATCTTAGCCTTTCTGCACGACGCTGAGCACTAGATACAGAATTCTGTCGATCTGCAGACCACGAAAGTTTAGCTTTCATTTCGGTAGTATGGCACTCGAGGCTATCATGCATGGCTTTCATCCTAGCTTCTTTCTCGGCTCTATTAGAATCCCATAATTCCCGTAGTCTTGTATCTCTTTTCTTCATGTAGCTTACGTATAAATTTCCTCTCAATTCCTCAGAAAATCCAACCTTGGCAACCAAATAGTTGTGATTCTGATCATCTGTTTCCATCACTGGAACTGGAGACTCAAATGTCATTTGCTGTTCCAGAACAGGATCTGCAACCTGTTTTCTGTACGAAAATCTAGTTATCTGATCAGGTTCCACATCAGAAGCCTTTTTTTGCCGTGTAGGGTTAGGTTGATCTCCAGGAACTCGAAGCTTATGCTCTGCGAAAAGCTTTTCGAGCTCATTTGCTTTTATTTGAAGCTCGTCATTGAGTTCTTGGTTCCCTTTCAATTGCCTCGACCTGTGTACTTGTTCGGTAGAAGCTTCCATCAGCATTGAACCATATTGCCCCTGATAAAGTTTACCAGATGGCGGGGTACTACTATACCCATAAGCATATCCGCCGTCATCCTTTTTAACTTGCTTTTGGAACTTCAACTTTTGGGGTCCAGATTCGACAATTTGCTCTTCCTCTTTCTTTCGAACTTCCTCAGACTCCGATGAAGTATTCAACTTGGGTTGGGAACGTAATAAACCGACCTCTAATTGTCTCTGCTGCGAAGCAGCAAATGCTTCCTGAATCTTTGACCCAGAACCACCTCCCGGATACCCAGAATCCGGTGCCGTCTTCTTGGGAGGAGCCCTCAAAGTCATTGTGGCAAGATCGCTCTCCTCAGAGGGGCCGACAGTTGAAGGATCGAATTTCACTTGATCACCACGAAAAGAATTGATTCGCGAACCGGGTTTTACCTGAGACTCTGAAGAGACATCCTCGGACTTGATTAAGTAAGTTAAAGACTGAGTCGTTTCCAAAGTAGAAGTCAGCTGATTTGACCCCACGGATGTTTCAGACTTGACCAACTGTATTGTGGAACTTGTTCCACCCTTGCTCAGATTAGAACTACCAATTTCCTGATCGTTGGAGACGTCCGTGGGTGTATCTTTCTGATCGTCTTTTCTGTCACAAGTTAAATCAATAATGTCGCTGGCACCACTCCATCTTCTGAGAACGGCGGGCGGCGGAGGAGGAGGTGAATTTGAATGTGAAACATCAGAAGAAAGCCGACGGAGATCCGGCTTGGTAACGGCAGGTTTGGAGCCACTTCCGGTGGCAGGAGCTACCTCTTTCTGTTTGTTCTCAAAAAGATTAATACGGTCTTGCACGCTGAGCCGCCTAGAAGATGTCTGAACCGGTGGATCCTCACCCTCTTCCTTCTTCACAAAAACCGAGTCATCTGCATGGACGGTGGAGTCTTGAGTTGTGGAAGCGCCGGCACGAGTTAAAGGGAAAGTGGCGGAGGAAGAGAGTGATTTGAGTGGGTGGGAAGTGGTTGAAGCTTGTTCGAAGGTGGCGGTGGTGGTTGGTGGGTCATGGTGGATGGGTTGATCGGAGTTGAATGATGGATTGTTGAATAAGTCCGGGCGAGTATGGTAGAGTGAAACGTATTTAGAGGCCGCTTGGCTGCACCAAATTGGGAAAATGTTAAAACTAATTATAAAGCTGGCAAAGAAAAATCCACTGCAACTGCCAGTAGCTGTCAGCTAAATTTTCATATAATTACATCTGATAGGAGTAAAAAAAGAAAATGAAAATATAATGAATTCATTTGAAGACAAATGATCCGTGAGGGGCGCCATGCACGTGGCCCACCAACAAAGGATCCAATGCTGCTATAAACATTTAGATGCACAATCAAAATGTTTGATGTAAAAATATTATGTAATTTACTCGAATACACATCTATATTTAGGAACTCGGGAACCTTACAAATCGCATCAAGTGTCCCTTTTCAGCTTCATCATGATCATGATATAATATATTCATGACGAATATGGACGTATCATTTATTATGAATCATATATTCATTTATATTTATGATGAATATGTCTCTGTAAAAAATGAATTTTACTCTGTCTTCAACTATAATTACAGACAAGATACGTAATCTTATTCCCAAAAAGAAAATCTTCTTACAAAACAAAAGGTATTTGTAATTATCATTGAAGGTCTGACATCCGGATCAAGAAATGCCAAAAGAAGGCAGCTGAGGCTATTTATCCAATGCCCAGGAAAATATACTTTGAAATACTAGAAATTACAAACTTTATAGCCCCAAAAAATGAAGTTGCATTAGAATTTAAACCATAAATAATAAGAAATCCAATGGGATGTGAAGAGTTTCTTACTTTAGGCGGGTGGCACCAAACCTCTCTGCAAATAACTGGAGGTCTGCTACTGTCTCATGGTTAAACCCAGCAGCCTCGGCACGAGCACAAGATGTAGCCAGGTCCTGCTTCACCGTTGCCAGCCTCACGTCAATTGCCCTCAAAAGTTCCTTCCTGTAAAACCAAAGAATCAACACAAAAAAGGTTGGATCTTTAATGTAAATTCAACATTTTAACTACACCAAATAAGACATATTTGAGCCTCCACTAGAAATCGATTGGTAATGGCTATGGATGTGCTGCCATTTACGTTGGTTGGGAACTCAGTCTTGAAATTTTAATCTTTTACAGACAAAACAGATGCGATGGATAAACAGAAACATAAGGAGAGAAGGAGAGGATTGTTCACTTTGTTGCATCGGCCGCTGTTGCTGAGCTTGATTTACCCCCACCTGGATTGGATTACAGTAAAGGTACCAATTAGCCCACAAGATTAGCAGCATCAAAATCAATGTAGGATCGAGGTTCAACTCCAATTAGTAACCAAAATCTAGTTTCAAGAAGCAAGGGATTGAACAACATGAAATTTATATAGATGTTACAAAACTTCAAGAAATAATAAACAAACGAAAGCTTTCACAACTCCACATCTTCATCAAAACACCTATCCGCCCACGGTGCAAGTGAACCCCACAAAATAAATGTATTGGTTTGATAGCTACATAAGAGTATAGATGTAGCAAGAAGATTTTGCATGTTTAACATCTAATGCTAGCGTCTTAGCATCTTATTGTTGTAATAGATAACAAAGATAAAACATAATTCAACAAATAAAATATGTGAAGAGTAATGCTTAGGGCATGTTTGTTAGCAGCTTAATGAGCTTAAGGGGACTCACAGCTTATTCGATCAGCTACACATGTATGTTTGTTAGTCGCTTAATGATATAGAAAGTGACTTATTCAGTAAGCTTCTAGGGGGAAGCTTTATGCAGAAAGCCAAGTTTCTTCTAAACCTGCCCCTCCCAATTAAAGAACATGATCCATCTATGAAAAAACATCTCAAACAAAAACTTTATATAAACAAATTAATGCACACAGACACATTTATCCATATAGGACTTGATGAAAAACCAACCAAACATCCCCTTGGTATTATATAAACTTTCAATGATCTTATTCGATTACCAATTGTTTCGGGTGTTAGGGAACTGCAGGAGTAGTGATCACTCACTCATGATTCTTGGTTCTATAGTGTAAATTTATTTATACAAAATCCACAAATCTGGAGTTATCACACCTCCTATTGTGACTCGTGAGATGGGAGGACTGTACAAAATATCTGTATCAAGATGATGCTCCTTTTGAACCAAAATGTAGGATGCCCCTCTAACAGGTATAATAACGTTAGAGTAGACGCCAAAAATTATAATGACCCTGTTCATGAAGGGTCATATGGAAATGGAACCTTACAACACAAAGCATGTTCCTACCCTAGTTAACCCTTTCTTGCTGCTGCCAGCAAGCTTGTAGCATGAGGAGGTTGGTGGTGTCGTTTATCACGAAAATCACAAAAGTCCTGACTTGAGCCATCAACTGCATTTGCAGATGACCCAAAGTGGTATGCTCAAAGTAGATGACATTCCATGATATGAACATAAACTCTGAAACAAGTTTGACTGATGCCTGGTGAGGGGTCATTAGTGAGCAATTTTTAGGAGTCAAACAAGAAGGTATGGTGGTGGAATACAAAAGGGAATTCGTCTCGTTAGTCCGGTGCGCTAGGTTAGAAAATGGTAGTTAGAGATTTTGTGTATATTATCGGGCATTGAACACAAACACTGAACCAGACAAGTTTCAGATTCCAATAACTGACGAGTTGTCAGATAACTGTACGAGCAGCCTATTTTCGAAGTTGGATCTGAAATCTGGGTACTACCAGATTAGAATGAGGGAGGGAGGCTTACACCAGACAGCATTTCAAACACACAAGGGCCACCATAAGTTTCTAGTTATGAGGTTTGCCTTATCCAACGCACCAGCCACCTTCCAAGCGCTCATGAATCAAGTATTTTGACATTCTCTAAGAAAATTTATGTGGTTTTTTTCACGACATCTTGCTGTACAACAAGGATGGCGAAGAGCATATGAGGCATTTAAGGGAAGTTTTTGAGGTGTGTCGATAATATAAACCAAACCAAAGGAACCCGGCATATCCTACTCGGAAGTAGGGTTTTTGGGGGGGAATGTCGCAGATAGGAAGTGGTTGCTTCTTTAAAGACCCCGGACTTATACAAAAGTGGTGTTGAAAAATAAGTTGTATGCAAATAGGAAGAATTGTAACTTGTAAGTTTGGGCAAGAGGAATGTGTTTACTTGGGGCATGTGGTATCTAGGAAAAGGGTATCTATGGACTTGTTTCTTGGTCTAACTGGGTATTATAGATAATTTATCAAAGGGTATGGATTTTCGCGGAAACAGGGGTTAAAATGGCAGTCAACAGCTGGTGTGGCTTTTGAAGAATTGAATAAAGCAATGACATTGACCCCTGTTGTGAAGCTACCAGATTGTAGGCAGCCTTTTGAGATTGAAACGGATATATATAGGGAATGGTGTAGGGAGGTATCAACGCAAGGGGGAAGCCCACTGCATACCACAGCCAAGTTCTTGGTCAGGCGGCGTGGCAGAAACACATTTATGAGAAAGAGCTTATCGCTATTGGCCTATCGTATTTGTAGTAACAAAATGGAACCCTATATTATTGGAAGGAAGATTATAGTGAAGATGACCAACAAGTTTAACATTTTTTGTTGGAACATGGAAAAAAGATTTGTTGAACCACAATATCAGAAGTGGTTAACCAAGTTATTGGGTATGAGTTTGATATCTTTCAATAGGTCGGAAAGTCAAATCAAGCTTTGGATATTATATCAAAAAGGAACTTAAAGTGTTCGTCAATAAGTGGGCCGCAATGGCGGCATGGGGAGGCACACAATAAGTTGAAATTTACCGCTGCATATCATCCGCAAATGGATGGTCAATTGAAGGTAGTAAACCGGAGTATTCAGCAATACTTAAGGTGATTTACGTCAGACAAGCCAACGGAATATTGGTACAATATTACGGTTTAAGGAGGCTTAATCGTAACACCTGTAGTGGAACAAACGTTAAAAGATAGAGATGATGCGGATATTTTTTATACAAGCACACGACCATAGGAAGGTGGAGACTTTTGTAGTAGGAGACATGGTTTTCTTAAAGCTTAGGTTGTCCAACAAACGTCTTTAGGAACCTGATAATTAGAAGTCTTATGCACAATTTGATGGGCATTTTAGGGTGGGAAGAGTGGTTTATCGTTTAAAGCTGCTAGTTGCCACTTGACTACACCCGATTCTTCATGTTTTCCATTTGAGGGTGGTGATTTGCACAATGTGCATGTATGTATAAATATATTGTCGGAGCAATTGAAGATGATCCAAAAATGATAGTGGAACCGAATGAAGTGCTGCAATAAGGGTGCTGCAGACTTGAGTGCAGGAGGTTTTAATATCATGGAAATTTTACCCTTATCTGAGGCTTCTTGGGAAGATTGTGAGATGGTCAGGTTGCAATTCTCATCTTTTCACCTTGAGGACAAAGTGAAGCTATAACGAGAAGGTATTGATGAGACTAAGGGACTTCACACTTAAGAAAGGCGGAAAAAGATTTGTCAATTAAGCTAAGGCCCAGTCAAGGGTGTTTTGGTAATTTCCATGTAGTTAGTCGTGGTTGTATAGTTGGAGTTAGGTTGTTATAGGGTAGATCGTTTGATAGGACTATAATAAACTACGGAGAGGAGAGAGAAGGGTTATGTATGATAAAGATAGAATCACACCTTTGAAGGTCGAAAACAGAGAGTGCCCTGCCTCCTGAATGCCGGGAAGTCATGTAGACAATGGTGTTCATTGAATTCGTTGTTATTGAGTTTTCATTTTGGCAATAAGAATATAGAAGCTCCATCAATATATAAGAGGGTAGTCGAAATCCACAACCTCGAAACTTTAAGTTGAAAACCAAGTAAATTCACCAATATATCTTGTAGCTTATGAACCCAACAAGTTAAATATTCGCCATTGCTCACTAAATATTTCGTATGCAGCGATCACAACATATTGTGAGATTTTATGTATGACTAATGTTACATTAATTTCGATTCACTAAAGAATACTTTTGTGTCATAGAGTTCATAAAGAGATGAATGATTAATAAACACAAGCAATTAACAGATGAAAGAACAATCGATGCATGTCTAACTGAAATTAGAGTTGAAAATAGACCAGGTGATTATAAGGTAACAAACTTTAATTTATTCAAACTAACAAGTCTTTGTGTTTCCTGGCAAATTAAGAAAGATAGATAGTGGGGTACCGGAAAGCTGGTCTGATGATCCCTGCAATTGTTTCAAAGAATTATAATCAGGAGAAACTTTAGAATTTATTTAACATATTGTATAAATGATTACATGGTCCGGAATCACATACCTGTGAATATATTCTCCGGGCTGCTTCTAGTTGAGACATCTCAGCATCTAAGGTGCTCACTAGTTCTAAAACCTCGGGTGTACTAACGAAACGCACAAACCTGGAAATAGAAGTTATCGATTGCAAAGGACTTACAAGCCAATTATAAGAAACTTTTAATTTTTTTAGAAGGTAGACTACCTCTCCAATGTTCCCTTTGTGAACCATGATTCAACATTTTTATGTCTATCCACTTCAAGCCTGATAGATTGTAAGGCCAATGCAACTTGTTCCTCTGCAACCTTCAAATGAGTGACAAATGGCTTCAACAAACCTGATGCAAGCTTCTCTGTGTTTCCACCACTGGAAACAAATAGTTCACATCTTAAAGAAAGTAAATGAGAAAAAGTTAGAGCCATAAAAATGAAATAGGCCAACCAATCAAGATGGTTTGCTTTTAAGATAGCGGAAGGCCCAAAAAGATCTTCAATAGGGCACCAAAATGGGGGGCGTAATCCTAAACTTACCTTGAACGTTTCGGTGAGAGCTGGAATGCAGCATAATCAAGAGGGGTATCAGACTTCATTGTTGTTTTGACAGAAGAAGTAAGATATCAGATCTCTTTCTTCTTCATATAAGCATGGATACCCTTTAAAAAATCCTATCAAATCACTGAATCAATTAAAACTGGGACAGATGATATCGATAGAATAAAGTAAACCAAGAAGTATTTACACGTAATTTTCTAAGAGTCTTCACCATCATCATCGACTGTACAGATGCTACTTTACTAATTGAATCCAAACATGAACTATTTCACCAAACCCAAACTTAGCAACATGGATCTGATTATACGCATTCAAATGCAGATGCTCAAGCACGAATTGGGATATTGATTTCAAGATACGGATGTGGGCATGTTCATGTTCCAGTCAGAAAGCAAAATTCGCTGGTCGAATAAAGATAAGAACTAAAAACCCTAAGAAAATCCAAATGTGAAAACAAGAAATCGAAGGTACCTAGATGATTGCAACTAGTTGGGATCTTGAATTGGCACAACCGATCTTTGGATTAGGCTTCAGATACGAACCAACATTGATGTTCTCAGTGAGTATTGAAAGAAAAAGAAAACCAAGATCTTCTTGGTTGCAGTTTTACATGAAACAAGACGGAAACCCTACGAAGTTAATAGATGATTTTGGCTTTACTCCTTTCTCAAACACCATTATCATCATCTATCTCCCTCTAAAGTCTCTTGGTATGAGAAAAGAGCAGAGAGAGAGAGAGAGAGAGAGAGAGAGGGGGAGAGTGCTAATTGGTATTCAGATCAGACAAGATAATTTTAATCAAGAATGTAATGACGATGGTCCAGAGGAAAAACATGAAAAAGAAAATAAAAACATTTGACTCTCTGCTTCCTGATTCGTTGGGTACAGACTCACCATCGATTCTCATTTTCATCTCTTTAACCGCCAAGAAATCTTTAAATTACACTATAAAAAAATAATAGAGTATGATTTATCTTCAATAAATAAATAATACGTGCTCACTTGATTTCAAAGGAAACCATCATATTTAGTGTGTATTTAATTTATATTAAGCTAGCTTGGGAATTGTGTGTTGTACGGTAACATGAGCATTTTGGTTAATAATTTGAAGATTGTCTATATAAATATATGTTAGTTTTTAATAAAATCATCAATAAAAAGTATTCAAATAATTTATAAAAATTAATAAAATCTAGTTAGTAAAATTTTAATATTATATATATATAGCTAATTATCAATGAAAAGTATTCAAATAATTCATAAAAATTAATAAAATCTAGTTAGTGAAATTTTAATATTATATATATAGCTATTTATGTAAGTATTTTACGATTAAGAAGCAACTGTCTTTCGTACAGATCATTTATTGATCTACTATAACTATAGCATATCCCTTTTTTTACGAATTGTTGCATTTATTCGAGTCATATATATATATATATATATATAGAGAGAGAGAGAGAGATATATATATTTTTATGAATAAAGTTGTAAAATTAAATAAAATGAGTAATAATAACGACGGGGTGTGGATAATTGATGCATTGTTTGTCTGCTTGATGGTGAAATTCTTTTTTCTTTTTAAAAGAGGATGATAACTCTGCTGATTTTTATTAAGAAATAAATAAGTGTACGTCTAAATCACACGGTAACTAACTATATGCATAAAAAATATGGTAAATAGAAACTTAGTATATAAATATTATGAAAAGATATTAACCGATTATTAATATATATAAACTACTATAAAAAATAATTCATTGTTATAAGATGAATAGTGTTTACAAATAACAAAAACAAATATTCTATTTGTCCCAAATAAGTATCATCCTTTCCATTTTAGTTTGTCCCAAAGTAAGTATCCACTTTCAAAAAATAATGTTTACTTTCCAACTTTACTATTAATTATGATATAGAGAATTCATTAATCTCTCAATATGAATTATAGAATTGTGATTTAAAAGTGTAATGATTATACATATATAAAATTGTGGATATGTATTTTGGGACTTAAACATGTATTAATACAAATTTCAAAGTACAAATTAATAAATAAATGTTATTTGCTATCATTAATATTCTAATTATTATATAGATGATATATATTAAATAAAGAGAGGTTGCATTTTATAAGTTTGAATTCAATGTAAATTAATAAATATTGATCAGTTAATATTATTTACCGTCACTAAATTTTTTATTATTGAGAGAGAGAAATGAAAAGATTGATATAACGTAAACTAAAAAAATAAAATAAATTGATTTATATTTATGAATTATTGTAATAAGTTTTTCTAGATGTATATATTAAACAGTTTATATATACACTCATAAATATAGATAATATTTTTTAGCAATTACATATACATATATATATATAGAGAGAGAGAGAGAGATCGAGAGGAGATTTACTTTGCAAACCACGTTATTTGTACAAACCGTACAAATTTTATTCAACCAATCATAATTTTTTATTTTGTTCATTTTTTGTAATTATAAGAGGTTGATTAATCATTTTTATTGTGAATGGTGCTAAACATTGATATTATCATCTTCATTATTTTAATTTTAGATAAATACATGAAATAATTTTATTGAGTATTATATGAAACAATTTCATAACCATATATGAAACAACTTCATCAAAAAAAAAGTATTATATGAAATAATTTCACAAGATTAAACAATTTCATGAAAAAACTTCATAAGATTAAACAATAAAATCGATAGATGAGAGTGGTTTACATGGTTTGTACAAATTAGGTAGTTTGAATTTGATCGCTTATATATATATATATATATATATATGTGTGTGTGTGTGTGTGTGTATGTGTGTGTGTGTAGGGTCAGGTTTAAATGTTAACCAAAGTTTTTGTGTTAATTTTATTAACCGATCTTGGCAATTCAATCTTTGAATAAACGGTTGTGATTAATCATGATAAATACTTATTTTGTTTAAATTTAAAATTTCATAAAGATAGGTAAACAAAGTTGAAAAGGGTATTTAGGTAAAAAAAAAATATGTAACTCTCATATCATTAATTGGGAGTAAAATTCTATGATTTTTGTTAATATATATTTGTTAATGTAAGAACTATATGAACATAATTATATATATATATATATATGTATATATATATATAGAGAGAGAGAGAGAGAGAGTTTGTTTCAAATACAACCTATCGCAATTGTACAACCAATGCAACCCAATAAATTGAGATATTTATAGAACTGATGAGAGTTTATTTATTATGATTTGAATATTTATGGAAGATGAATATGGTTCATTAATTATGATCAATATTTTATATTATGAAACAATCAAAACTTCTATGCACATATTAATCAAATAAAATGAACGGTTGAGATTGAGTTGTATTGGTTGCACAAATGTCAATGGTTGTATAATAGCCAACATATATATATATATATATATATATATATGAATCATTGTGTCAAATACGAACAAAAGATTAGCATATATATGAACTTGGACTGCATAGCATTTATGAACGCAATATGAACATAACAAGAATAATTGTTATACGAAAGGAAATAAATAAAAAAACAGGTATAAACACAATATGAACAACTTATGAACAATAGTTATTTCATTATAAACACATTCAGGAGCGATCATTTGTCAATTGGAGTTTTATACATGCATTGCATCCACATCGTTTAAGATCCACCCCTTGTTCATATATGTTTATGGTCTTATGTAGTTGTTCACCCTTGTTCATATCGTGTTCACCCCCTGTTCATATCGTATAAAATATATGAACACATAACTCCAACGCTATGAACACCGAGTGCAAACACTTACACAAATATAAAATTTTGGTATCAAGCTTTAAAAAATAGCATTTGTGTTCATATGATAGAAATAACATGAACACAATGGTTCATGATTCATAAAAGTCGGTATTATGACAATATGAAAATGAGCCGTGCATGTACTTTCATTTGAACATGTGAATTAGGTACATTTTAATAATTAAAAAAAGTTACGCAATATGAACTACAAAAAACACAACACATCATAATGAACATAATTTCGATTAAAATGAGTCTAATAAAATATTAATCCATTACCAAGACATTCGTTTTGGTTAATTTCTTCACTTCCCAAACTCGAACTCCAATTGTCACCATAAACCATTTTAATATTTTCAATGTTGTCAATTTTTTTCCAATGCATTTATCCATAATAGCTTGAACGATACCGAAGATTTTACTACCGTGTTTCTTCCACGAATCAAAAACTCATAAAACAATAAAAATGAAAGATCAAGATTAAAAAATAAATAAAAATATCAATATTATAAATGCATATTTTTAGGGATTTTATGATTTTGTAATTCCCCTTTAATGGTATGAAGTTACATAGCAAATGAAATTACTCAATTACACTTGACATTAAATTGTGGACATGATAGAAACCTAATAGAAGAATGAATTGTGATTGGTTGACATGGTTTGCAAAGTTAACACAAAAACTTTGGTTAACATTTGATCTTGTCMCTATATATATATATATATATATATATATATGTGTGTGTGTGTGTGTGTGTGTGTTTGAGGAGGGATGATAATCAAATGAGAACCATAAAAGGTTACAAATTTGTAAAAATTGATAAAAAAAAATAATTCCTTGCATTATGTTTTTCATCAAAAATTATTATTTAAGATATTATTATACATATTTTTGTGTTCACTTTATGAAAAAATTACATGTGATTTCTTTTCTCTTACACCATCTCCAACCAACACTAAAATATTTTTTTATCAAACTTTATGATTCACCATCTCCTCCTTATATACTTCTAATGTTTTGTCAAATGTTATTCTCTCTATCAATGTGAGATAATCAACTCAACATTACAATCAAATATTCAAATAACTTTTTGAAAAAAGATGGTAGCTAAATGTCAAATTTAACTCAAAGATTTTTCAAATTTCAATTCACCATCTTCTTATTATATACTTATACTATTTGTTAATCTATTTCTTACCAACATAATCCAAGATTTGAGAAATTCTCAAACCACATAATTTACACTTGGTTATATGTAATAAATAAATACATTTTTTTTTGTAAAAAAAGAATGAGCTAAAATGATTCAACTCTATTAGTTTAATTGGGAAAAAATTGACTAGATTTTAATTTTAACCAACCAATTTTTTTCAAATTTCAATTAATCATATCCTCCTTTTATACTACTAAGAGCAATTCCAATCGAACGGCAAAACCCTAGTTTGCCGTTCTTTTGGATCCAATCGCACGCCAAATACACCAAAGTTTCACCGGAGGAAGGAAGTGAACGGCAAATTTGCCGTGGAAGAGATGGACGGCAAAAGGTTGGAGTTGAGTATTTTTTTGGTGTTCATGGGCCCACTTATTTGATGTTTTTTTTTTGTGTGAAGTTGGAGTTGCCCTAAGTCTTACACTTGGTTATATATAATAAATAAATATATCTTTTTTGCAAAAAATAATTGGGCTAAAATAATTCAACCTTACTAATTTAATCAAAAGTATTTTTTTTTTTTTTTTGAAAAAATGACTAAAATTTAAATTTAACCAACTTCGATCAGTAAATTTAATTCATCCCCTGTTGCTGCCATATCACTCTCGCCGCCCACAACTCCGATCTCCGGCGTAGGTATCACAGTTCATCATCGTCATCGATGTCTCGATCGCACCTTCTCTTGGATCATCGTTGTTGTTGTTGTCTCTCTCATCTTCTTCACTTCCTATGTTGTTCTCGTTCATCGATATTCTCAGATATGGCTTATTTAGTGCCAAGGAACCACCCGACGACGGTTCCACTCCTGCAAGGTTGGCTTGCCCAGTCCACCAGTGGTTTAACATGCTCTTTACCAAAAGTATACAATAGAAGAGAGTTTTCCAAACGCTATTCAAACTATCTTGTGAAATTGATGATTAATTAGTCGAAATCATAAAGATACAGAGAAACGATATATAACGATAATGGTGTTTAAGAAAACAAATGCTATATGAGCTTGAAGATACCCCTTCGGTACCTTTAGTAGCTTTATATGTTTTTTGTTGGTTTGGCCATAGGTTTTAGTGGGTTTGGGTGCATTTATCAAAGATTTTGTGATGATCTACCCTCCCTTTCTTTCTTTCTTTCTCTCTCTCTCTATATATCACAGTGGTAATCCAATTGGTACTACATTGGGTATCACAATGCATCTTGTATGTTTTTTGGGTATCACAACGTGGATCGTCTGTATGTTTATCTTAAATTTAGATTATGGTTTTGATTTTGTTTTTAAGGTTTGGGTTGGTATCATAATTGGTATCACAATGATATCACATAAGGTATCACATTGTGTATCTTTGTGATTACTTGGTACCGGCCGGAATAATGTTCACCGGAGGCCGGAGATCTGAGGTCGGAGAGAAGAGAGAGAAGTTTTTATAAATACCTAAAATGCCGTCTAATTATAATTTTAACTCAAATTACCATTATTACTAATTTTCTAATTTATTCGTTGATTTGTGATTGAGATTTGATCTGACGGTTACCACAAACTAATCAGTTCTCCCTTGAATAAACATATATATATATATATATATATATATATATAACATATGATGCATTTTTAAACATCATGTAAATAAAAGAATATATGCATTGATGTAAATAAAAATATTTGTTTGTGNTATATATATATATATATATAACATATGATGCATTTTTAAACATCATGTAAATAAAAGAATATATGCATTGATGTAAATAAAAATATTTGTTTGTGAATGATTTATTTTTTCAATTGTCATGTAATTAAAAATATGCATGTATTGATATAAATAAAATTATATATAGTTTTATATATTTATGAATTCAAATATCCTTTATAGAATAATGAAAATAGAGTTAAAAAAAGTAGGAAAATGAAAGGGTTAACAATTAATGTGTTATTATATATTAAAAAATAAATCAAAATAATGAGAAAAAAGATAAATAAGATAAAAAGTTTCTTATTGATCAACTTTTTGGTGGTTCTTTTAACATATATAGATTTGAGAAAATATTTATGATAATTTGAGTACTTTATATGATAACCATGAGTACTTTTCTTTTAAGATATTGTTTCATATATTTTTTTTCTTATCTAAGGTTAATTTTTAATATATTGAAAAACATATATTTATTACACAAATGTGTTCGTTTCATATGTATGTCGAGTTCATGATGTGAAATTTTTTTACATGTAACTTTTGCTTCACAACCAAACCGAAAAAATTCACATTATGAAACAGATACATACGAAACGAATATATGTTAATTAATATTCTAAATCTTAGTCTTAGATGGAGAAAAAAATCATATAAAACAACACATAATGCATTAATTTTCAAGATTATCATAATTTCATGAGTTTTTAAAATAAGGTCTCTTACGAGTCTAATTATTTTATTATATAAAAATTAACAATTCTATGTTCATAATTAAACTACATTTGACTAACGTTAATGGTGTATTAAAATATCGAGGGTTGTTTTCATTGACCAATATTTATTTTGGGATCTCATTATTATGAACCCAAACTTTGACTCTAAGTCATTTAGGAATCCACGGTCCTTCAACTCCTCCTTAATCACATACAAGAAAAATTGCATCAAAATAAAACCAACTTTCAACTGATTTTTATAATTGATTTTTATTTTGATAAACTAACTTTTAAAATTGTCATTTAGGGGTATCTGTCAGACTTTTTGTTTATTCAAGAATCTGGTTAACCTGTTGAACATATAACTGTTAATTTAATATGACTTGATAGAAAATTACTTAAAAAATATTATGTATAAATTATTTTGCTAAATCATCATTATCATTAAAACAAATCAAAATTAGAAAATGAATCTCGGCCAAACAAGATGGGCCAATTCAACTCTAATATCTCCCCATGAAATTGGAAGGAAGCTGGATCTTGTCCGAAATTCAAGCTCAAGTTTGTTAGATAGACAAGGGGCATCTCAAGCGGGGTCACTTAATAGTTTTAAGGTGGGTAGTAAGGGTGAGAGGGGTTAACGACATGATAGAACCCCAACCAGTTTCGGTCTCTGCTAAAACACCACCATTTCCTGCTTTTAATCACAATCTGGCCAAACCCTCCCCAATCAAGACACCACATGTAATTGCAAACCATGTTGCAGCCCAACCACCCCCTGTTCATACAACTAAGCCGCAACCTGCAGTCCCTAATCACATTGCAACCCAACTGCCCACACTGAAGCCACCACCCTTAATTCCAAATCATGTTGCAGCTCGATCACCGCCCTTTTCATCAACACCACCACCATCTACCATCGTTAAACAACCCCTTTCCAGACCTAAGCCACCACCTGTTGTTGTTAACAAGACGACACCACCACCCCTCCCAAAAAGAAACCCGAACCACCAATGAAACAACATCACCCTGATACCAAATACTTGAACCAGATACTATCAGTTCCGAAATTGGACCAATGGTGTGGTTTTGATAATCAAGAATGACAATTTAACAGGAAATAGGAGTAACCCTGTTCCAAGAAAACAACAATGGATGAGCATCAGGTCCAGGTATGGTCTAAAGCTAAGCACATAGAGTCTATTGATGTTTGTGCTTTGTCTATGTTATTCCGTACCAATTGATTTTTGTTGAGGCACCATATTATGATGTGGGGTTGAGATCTTGAGATGATTCCGGGCGGGTTTTCTTTCTATTTTTCATTCATCTAGTGGCTTGATAGTCCATCCATGCTTTTGGGGAACGCCTTTCATTATATGATGATCCTGAATCGATGATGGGTTGGATTCGATTGGAGTTTGAGGGAAGATAGTTTCTGCAATATTTATTGATATTTGCACAATGCTGAGATGTTTTTTGGCATTAATTTTTTTTTGAAGAAAACGAATTTTAGTTAAATTATATGTAATTATTTTGTAATTTTAAAATATGACATGGAATATTAGTTTTAAAATAAAAAATTAATATGGATATCTCAGCATTTTAGATTTATATTTATAATCATAATAATGACGTAAAATATCTTAGTTGACAAAATATCTAGATAATGTTAACATTAACAGGTCAACAGGTTAACCAGACCCTTAAATAAACGAAAAGTTTGATAGAGACATCTAAATGACGATTTTAAAAGTCGGTTCCCCAAGATAGGAACTAGGTGAAAGTTTGTTCCATTTCGATGTAATTTTCCCCTTACATATATTATCCTTTAAATATAACATAAATACATAAACCACCCTCCAAGTTAATTTTTTCTAAAAAACTAAGATACGAAAATTTTATTCGCTTTATAGTTTAAGAGAACAGCTCGTATCTTAAACCAACAAAGAGTTACATAGACATTGTTTGGATAATTAATAAATTATTTGATCATAATAACGAAGTAATTGCATGAGCATTTGAGATGCAGCAAATGGTTAAGCAAGCAAATCAGGTGGTGATTAAGAGATAGTGTTGGACCCACCCAGACATAATCATCTGAAAACAGCTGGTTGGGTCATGGGTAAAGCCCACCTAGACCAGCAATGGTGGTTTTGCAATTCAATCCCTCATGTGGGAGTTTGTTTTTTTAAGAGGTATTGAAATTTGAAGTCTGATTTCATTTTTGATTTATAAGAGATGGTATTAAAGTCTGAAATCTGGATCAGTAAGATTATTTGTTTTTACGTCTGAAGTCTGAAATCTGAATCAGTCAAACTAATGCAAAAGTATAAAAGATAAATAGTTTTTGCTTCCAGCCCCCAATATATGAACCATTTGATAGAGAGCGGATTAGGATTAAGAGTTATTAAGTGATGTGTTTACCACTTAAAATTTCAAACGATATTTAGAGCTTTTAAGCTCTTATTTCAGAAATAAAACAAACGCTCTTAATACCCAAACGTCTGAATAAATTAGACTTTAAAGGTATTAAGAGCTAATTTAAAAAAAAATAAACAACCCCTAGATACCAAATCTTACATGCATCAATGTGTGGGGTTTCCATTCTTCTCCCTTTTACTATAACATTCTTCTTCTTTTTTTTTTCTTTAATCTTTTAAAAACTCAATAATTTGTGACATTTGAAAAATCTATTCTAAACCATATTTTTTTTGATTTATTGTATTTTCTTAATTAATTATAAAAGGATGGTTTTGTACTATGATATATTTTTCAATACGATGACAACTAATCAGAATTTAATTTGAAAGATCTCGCGTATTATCATAATCCTGACCTAAACCCACATTTCTTCTCCTTATGAATATGATGTGATGCATCATGGGCGTCGGAAGAAACCCACATTATTCTTCCCTCATGAATGTGATTTTTGGGTTTTTGGGGGGGGGGGGGGGGGGGGGGGGGGCGTCTGCCACCTAACTTTAATCTCATTGCACATTGTCCAAAATTGAAAAGGTTCACCGGATCAAATTAATATGCATTACCATAAACAAAATAGGGAGGGGAAACGAGATGAAGAACCTCACGTAGATCTATTCCCCATACTCCTGCAACGAAACAAAGTGTAGAAGAACCTCAATTGTTCTTGTTTTTCCAGGTTTTTTACCTCCGTTTTTTGGGTAAAGATTTCGATTAAGGATTAATTTAGGTAAGGATTTCCATTTTTTGAATCTGGATTTGATTCCAAGTTCTTTTTTCAGTTGGGTTTTCTATGATTATGGGTTTTTACAAAGGTTTTTTTTTATGAATCAGGGTCTGATGTCACGTTTAAATGAAAACCGTGCATTTCTAAGGAAACCGTGTAAATCAATTTCGATCATTAGGAAAATTCTATTTTTATCTAATTAAATTTAATCAATAAGAGTATTTCGGTCATTTACAATATTTTCTATTAAATATGTAAATTATTAATAAATATTAATTAAGGAAACGTAATAAAGAAAACTGTATAAATGGTAACATTTAAATATTTAATTATATTATAATATTAAAATTTTGAATTTGATATATTGTTATGAGATTGAATCTGCAAACGGGTCTTGAAGATTGTATTGCATTATGGAAAGAAATCGTAAATTATGGTTCAAATTAAAAAAATAATGTTAATGAAACAAGTTTCATGAATGTGAAATTGGCTCATGTTTAATTGATTAATGAGTAATATAAAATCGTTTCATGGTGAACCACGTTTCAGTGATGGTGTAGTTGATCCGTTTAGTAGGAAAAATGGAACATGAAACGGGTGCATAATTTATTTGGTTCGTCATGAAATAATTGCATGATGAAACGGGTACATGATGAATCTGCTTCGGGATCTTGAAGATTGTAATCTGCTTCAGAATCTTGAAGATTGTAAGGATTAAATGAAAGAATGCATCAAATCATGAGTGAAATAAAAAAATTAATTTACATGAAACAGGTTTCATGAAGGTGAAACTGGTTCATGGCGTAATTGAACAATGAGTGATGAACTGCTTTCATGGTGAAACGCGTTTCAGTGCTAATAAGTGCACTACCCAGAAAAAGATTAATAATCTTAACATGGATGAAGGTCTAAAAATATCCATATTAAAAGCAGTAATATCTGATTCTGATTCTGAAAATGAAGAAATATTTGTATCTGTCATTAATGAGGAAGATTTTAATGATTTTTCTGAAAGTGAAACTTCCTCATCCGATAACGAAGATCAAACTATATCTTCATGTGATGGTCAATGTAACCAATATACGGCTTTATGTCAAATGAATGGTTTATGTGTTTTAACCCAACAAGAAAATTTTATTTTTGATATCATTGATAAAATCAATGATAAAGAAGAAAAAGAAAATTTTTTTATGGAATATTTAAAACAACTTAGAAATAATATTTCTAATAATACTCCTGAAAAACGTCTACCAAATGGTGTAGGTGATCCATTCAGTAGATGAAATGAAAAATGAAACGGGTGCATAATATAGGCGGTTCGTCATGAAATAATTGCAAGATGAAAAATAAATTAGTTTCTTTAATAATAATAAATGTTAACGTAAAAATGTTAATGTAAAAATAATAAATTACTTTACAAAAAAAATTAGTTTCATTACTAATATTAGGTTTTACCCTTTTGCCCTTATCGGTATTATAAAATGTATTTTCAATTTCCTTAAATAACCTTGATTAATCTTAATCATTGATCAAGAAAATGGATGAGTGAGATTGGTTTACACGGTTTACACAAATGGAGGCGGTTTTTATTAGAGAGAGAGAGAGAGAGAGAGAGTGCTATTATACAACCCTTTACATTTGTACAACCAATAAAACTCAATCTCAACCGTCCATTTAATTTGATGAATATGTGATTTCATAAAAGTTTTGATTGTTTCCTAACATAAAGTATTGATCATAATTAATGGACTTTAGTTGTCTTCTATAAATATTCAAATCATAATAAATGAATTCTCATTATTTCCATAAATATTTCAATTAATTGGGTTACAGTGATTATACAAATGGACATAGTTGCATTTGAAATATACCATATATAGAGGTGAGCTATTATGCAACTCTTTACATTCGTACAACCAATACAACTCAATCTCTACCGTCCATTTAATTTGATGAATATGTGATTCCATAAAAAAATTTGATTGTTTTCTAATATAAAATATTGATCATAATTAATGAACTTTAGTCATCTTACATAAATATTCAAATAATAATAAATGAACTCTCATCATTTTCATAAATATCTCAATTGATTGGGTTTTCGCATTCTCGTAAATCACAGGGGTTCTCGTTTGAACCTCCACCTGTATATATATATACTATATTAAAACATTTGGCTAAAACTCTTAAAACTCTTAAACCCGTTCATCCCTAAACAATGAATCGGTATTTTTTTTCAAGCCACAAGTAGTTACTGATTTATTAATAATATGGTTATGATATTTTCCAGATTTTGAGTATATTGTTTTGTTTTCATTCGTAAAACAAATGTCATTAAACCATGTTATACAATTTTCAAAATGTTTCAAAAATGAAACTAACTTCTTTTTGGTTAGAAACAATGAAACTACTTTCATTAATGAAATAATGGTATTCAAGTATTGAAATGTTTCATTGACTGGACCATATTTGGTTTCATTAATAATACTAATTTCATCTTGGCTATAAGCCATGAAACTGATTCCATTTTAGTAGGAAACATGAAACAAATTTAAAAATGAACGAAATATTATTATTCAGTTCTTGAAGTGTTTCATTGACTGAGCAATATTTAGTTTCATATGTAAAACCGAGTTCATCTTGGTTAGAAACCATGAAACCAATTCCATTTTGGTTATGAAACATTTCAACAATTTTCACTGCTAAAACAATGTCTGTAGAGTCCATGAAACCAATTTCAATGATGAAACGAATTTCATTAGCGAAAACATGTTATTCAAATTTTTTGAAAATGTTTCATTGACTGAACCAT